GATTAAGTCCAGTACCCCATAGTTATTGAGACGGTCACAAGCTAACTCCATTTCTCTTATGGTCTGTCTTCTTTGTAAACCATAATATAATTTATTATTTTTATTGTGTTGATGTTGTTATTTTAATTTTTTTTCTTTACCATTCATAGATCTATCTAATAATTAGATAGTTTGTAATGTTTTTCTCACATATAATCCATGAAAAATTAAGATTATGAGATAAATATAAAATTTGTATGGCACATTGACAAAAAATAAAGTTATACGGCACTACCTTTTCTATTAAATCATGTGAAGGTAGATTAATTTAAAAAATGACAATAAAATCTCTTTAAATTATATAAATAATAATTTAGTCCTTCAAAATGCCATAATTTCACTAAAATTTTTAGAAACTTTTCTATCATTTCTAAATTAATGTAAATGATTAAATTGCCTTTGTTGAAAATAAAATAACTCAAAAATTTTGCTTAAATGATCACAATTTTCATTTTTATATTCGCAAATTATAACTTCAAATGTTAAATTTTTAATTTGCTATTGCATTATTATGAATATAAGAAGTTAATTTATGATTATTTAGACAAAACTTGTGAATCATTTTATTTTCAACAAGGATAATTTGATCATTTACATAAATTCACTAATGACAGAAATTTTTTTGAAGACTTTAGTGAAATTATGGCATTTTGAGAAATCAAATTGTCATTTATATATTTTAGAAGAATTTTACTGCCATTTTTTTGATAAATTTATGAAGTATTATAATTTTTATGATTTATAAATATCAACAAATAAACATATTAATATATCTTAGAAACTTAATTTTTAACTGAAGCATCAATATTTTCAAATATTATAGTTGAGATATTACAATATTAAATATCATCAAGATCAATACACAAATTTGATGATTGAGTCATCATCTTCAAATACAAATTATATGTAAATTAAAAATTAAAAATTTGATTAATTCATTTGATATTTATAATTCAAATAAAAATTAAAAATTAAACATAGATCATTAAGACATTATTTAAAATTAAGAAATTTGAATCAGTATAAGTAAATTGTTATGAGCATACCTTTCAAAACAAAATTTTACAAAGAGATTCTCAAGAGTCAAAAATATGTAGAGCAGAAGAAAAATTATACTTCATGTTGATTTAAAAAACTGTAGCAATGTATATCTTCCTCTTCATTCAAATATAATATACTTGAAGAGTTATAAAATAATTAACAAATTATTGTATGATTTACAATAAATATTTCAAAAACAAACAAATTCTATGAAATTATAAGTTCATGAACATAGAGCATAATAAGTTATTTTCAATTCTATTACTTACAAAAGAGAGATTTACAATGATGGAGGAAAATTCAATAAAAAATTATAAAATGCATGATTATATGCAATTACCTAGTATCCATCATAAATGTGAGATCTGTTAGAAATTGAATTGCTCTTTTGACATCTACAAAGAACATAACCTCATTGTGTCATCAGGAAGGATTATACAATTAAGGGGGTGAGAGGGCATTGTTGACAAAAGAGGAGCCGAAGAGGAGAAGGGTTTTGTGATTTTGCTTATATTGATGAGGGAATGGAGCTACTGAATGGTATTAAGAGTGAAAGAAATATTATGTGCTTTGTAACTGTTCAATATGATCATGTGTTTTGTGCAATTAGAATTTTAAAACTAACAAAGAAATATATTATGGAAAGTTATGATTATAGGAGAGTAGAAGAAATAATGGGAGAGAAATGAGGAAAAATAGAAATTAAAATGATTCATTTTAATTTTAAATATAATAATTTTAATACTTAGGAAGATTTGATAGAAAATCTAATGTACACAATGATTGTATACATTTGACAACAAGAAAATTGAGAAGTTATTACTTTTGATGATAGACGAGGTTGTGGGAACAAAAATTTAGAAATAAAAGGAAGTGGTTTTTATATTATAATTTTGATAAAATATCAGTGAGTTATAATTTGAAAGTAAAATTGGGTGATTAGATTATACCTTAAGTAAAAAAGTTTAAATATTTGAAGGTGATTATTCAATATAATGGGAAAATTGATGGAAATATTACACATGTGATACAAGTTGGGTGATTTAATTAGAGAAAAGTTAAAATAATTATCTGCGATCGTAAAGTGTTTAATCAACTTGAAGAGAAGTTTTATCAAATTGTTATAAAACCAGCAACATTATATAATAGTGAATGTTGGACTTTAATGGAATAAATTTCAAGATAATTTTAGATCATCCTCATATGAATTTTTTAGATTTAGTTATGAATTTTCAAAGTTCAACAAAATTCTAGACTTACCAAATAAGCAATAACTCAATGAATAATTTGTGAATTTTAATCTATAGGTTTCAATTTCTGTTTCTGCTGAATCATATCGCTCTCAATTGTATAGGAAAAGTTTTAAAAATTAAGATTTGAGAATATATAAATCAGAATGAATTACTGGTTTGTTCCATATAAAAAGACTATACAATACTCACATGCAACTAACGGCTAGTTGAGGAAACGAGAAAATGATGCTTCTGCTATAAGAAAATTAAATATAAAAGTGTCACAAAAATGGTACTCTTGTTACATATGATTCACATGTCAATGATCATTAGCAAAAGACTCTTCACCATTGCATTTTGGACCTGCTCTGGGGACAAGAAGCAACTGCATTGCACAAACCAAATATATCCATGTCAGGGGCCAAAAAACAATTGAAGAAATGCACCAGATTTGCCAAGCCACACAAATTGATCAACAAACAAGGATTCAAGGAAGTTGACAGCAATGCACTAGTGGACTGCAAAAAAAGAGAGGCATTAAATATTATATCAAGGTAAGGATAGGGAGCAAAATAAATATTTTGAAACTTCATGATAATCAAAGCTGAAGAACAAAAATCAAGAGATAATAAAATTTTTAATCTGTCAAATTTTCTCTATTATTGATTTAGTTTTTTAAGGTTAATTTTGATTTATTTATTTTTTTATATTTTTTAAATTATTATTTTATTAGTTACTTACGTTTTAAAACACGAATTTATTCTATCTAAACATTAATGAAGTCTAAGAACAAGACTTAGCCCAACAAACTTAAGCCTAAGATAATAACACATGGACCAAAGGGTTGAGCCCACTAGAAGTGAGAATCCATCTGATTGTATTCATTTGTTATTGTTCATTATTCATTGTACACGTGGCCTTTGTATAAAGCTCTAGAGTTTTCAGTATCTTCTCTATATAAGAAATAATTAGCCTTGGGTTCTGTGAACAACATATTACACTTTCCTTCTTGGTGTTTTCTTATCTCAAATTAATATATGAAGTATTTTAATAACTTAATATGTATGTGTAAATTAATGAAAATAAGTTAACTTTTAAATCAGTTTAATTTTTATTAATCTAGTCCCTCATACAACATTTTGTTCTTTTATTTTTTTTAAATGTTTGAGTCTTTTTTTTCTATCTAAATAATTTTATTTTTTAATTTCGTTATTTACGTCAGTAAAGTTTTACATTGTTACCTCCTATTTACACAATAAAAACTAAATCAATAATTTAAACAACTTAATGAACCACATTCATAAAAATTAAACTTGAAAGATCAAATTGATAATAAAGCAAATTTGAAATACTAAAAATTTCATTATCTCAAAATTGAAACACAATTCTAATGTTCAAAAAGGGCAGTTTTAGCCCAACAGAATTTTAATCCACTTTCAGACACATTGAATAGAATGAGCACAAATTTATTCCCACATGTTAGGGGAAAGAGCAAGACAAATTAGCACAAGGACAAAATCTCAAATAGGTCACGAAATAGAATATTCAAAATATGTTAACTGACAAAAATCATAAAGTTTCAGCAGTCATTTACAAACTCTCAATTATAAGTCATTCTCAGACTAACACACCTGTCAAAGCAGAGCAAGGCAACAAAATTATACCGTAAAAAATGATGAAGATTTATTTATTAGTCATAAAGGAGCCACTGCAAATAGGAAATGATAATGGACAAACCGGCTCAAGCTCAGCCTAGGATGGTCTATTAAGACTTCATATCTTACATAAATTGAAATACCACCAACAAGCTTTGTGTTTTGCCCTTTTACTTCCTGTAATCTTATTTATGAGATCTTACCTATAACTTGTTTTTTTATTTTGGGGCCTGACAATGCACTTACCTATGAGTTGATAATATACTAGAGTTTTACGGAATTAAATGAAGCATTTGAATAATCTTAAAAAATACCTTTATTTATTTCACTTTTGGTTTAACTAACAGATTTAATTTGATTAAAGGTAATCTTCAAAAGTTGTAAAAAGTTTTCATATGTAAATAGCTTCATTAATTTCACAAAATTTTCACATACTAAAAATAAACAATTTATTTTATTCCAAAAACAACCTATTTTATAATCACACAAATTACTTTAGAATTTGTTATCAGGAGTATATGAAAATTATATAGAACAATTTGGTGATTCAGAAAATATTATCCTCACAAATAAAATGTAAATACAGGCTCAATCAATAAATAGAAAAATAAAACAAAGTAGATAGCATAAGTACACGCCTATAAAAAAATTTACATCTATATCCAACAAATATATATGTGCGCGCGCGCGTGTTGTTTTGTATGTGTTGTCGGTATAATTTACAATAGTTATTATACATGTTAGAGTACTATACTGTATAAAAACTATGCAGAGAAATAATAAATAACTTATATGTATATATATATATATATATATAGATATTAAAGAATTGTTCAAAAAATAAAAAAAATTGGACGAAATTTGGAAAAAGGCATACTTCTTTTTTCAATAAGGTGTAAATATTGAAATAATAAATACAATATTGTAAAAAAATTTACCACTTTAATTTAGTCTATTTAAACATGGAAGAAATATCTAATTACTTTTTTTTTAAATCAAGAGTGATTTTAAGATAATGGTAGTGAAGGTGAGCTTGTAATTAAAAAAGCAAGGAAGGGAGAGATACCTGTAAAGATATATCAAAGAAACTGTATGTATGGGAGGTGCTTTTGTTTGCTCCTGCCTATAAATTTCAGTTGCAAGGGGTGACAGATGATGTCATCGTCAGATTTGTTGGATTCATTTTGTTTGCTCCTGCCTATAAATTTCAGTTGTAAGGGTCGACAGATGAAGTCATCATGAGATTTGTTGGATTCAGTTGGTTGTAAGATACCTTCATTTTTCTGTTTCTTTGTTGGAGGGAGCCGTTCTTCATCCGAGTCCGACTGTGAGTTATATGTCACGTGCACTCCACATGCTTTCATTGGAACTGCTACCTCTCCGTTAAAAAAATCATCATTGCGATAGTCCACGCAGAATTCACATGAAATCTTGGCAACATCACCTGTTCTACCACTAAGCAAAGCCCTTTGCGATTTCAAGTACCATATGTAAACATGAGCCGACTTCATTTTACGATTGAACTGCGAAATTTGTTGTTATCATCATAAGAGACATAACAGTAGGCCCGCTCCACGTAAGGTAAGCGAGGATGAGGAGGAACAACGCAGCAACACAAGATGGTTGGTGATCGTTTGAGATTGCAAATGAATTCGATAGCATTGGAAGCCTCTGTCTCGTGTTTATATTCCATCCATTTTGGAACTCTGCTTCCCGCGTAACAAGCCGAAGAATCGAATGCCCTAGCCTCACAGGCTGAAGTCAAACAGAAATGAGTTAGTTTCTCAATGAAGTGAAGAGAACACTCATCCAACTTTATACAATTCTGGAAATCAAATCGACATTGATTTTCAACTAGAGAGTCAGAGAATATGACCTCCAATGAAGTGCATCCTTCAGCATTAAAATAATCAAGGAAGGTAGGAAGTCCAAGTATAGACTTAAGCCTCTCGCAGTCTTTCAAGATCATGATTTTCAAGCTTGTTAAGGCCTTGATATTGTCAGGGATTTCCAGCAAGTAACTGCATCTTTCCAAACATAGGCGGTATAAATTACGCTAAGCATCAAAAAGAGAGCGTAGCTCTGTTGTGTGAATCACCTGCTGGAAATCCCAAATGTCAAATCTCTCAAGATTTGTCAAGCTACATAGCTCACTTATCGGAAGGCTCCTTAATCTTTCACCATAAATATCAAGCAATCTGAGTTCCGTGAAACATCCCATTGGCAGTAAATCCAATATTTCAACTCCAGTCCCATTGAAACGCAAACCGTCCAATTTCTTTGATGACAAAGAGAATTTCTTGAGGCTTTGACAATAATCAACACCAAGGTAAGAGAGACATTCTAAATGAGTCTCACTTTCAAGGCTCTCTAATTCCTTGCAATCAGAGACATTCAATCCAACAAGAGATTGGAGAGATAAAATAGATGGATGAACACTATGTAGACTTTCACAACCCCCGAGGTCGACTTCTTCAAGATTACATGCCATAGAGAAATTAGGCATCTCCACCAATTGTTTACACCCAGACAAACTTAATGTCTTTAGATTCATAAGATCCTGTGACAATGAACGGAAAAGTTTGACACATAAAAGCCTAATAATTTAATTAAATTGAAGAGAGAGAGACACACACATATTAATTAGTGTGTATGTATAAGTACCTGCACTCCATCCCAAAGCTTTTTAATATTGCTGTCCATTATACAAAGTTCGACAAGGTTCTTAATACAAAGCCCCAACGGCAAAGACTCCAGTGGATATTGCTCCCAAGAAAAATGCCTTAATTTATTAGGAAAAGAGCCATGATAAAGACTCTCTGATTTCTCACAATGAGATACATCCAATGTAACAAGAGATTGAAGACAAAAAATAGATGGATGAACACTACATAAACTTTCACATCCCGAGAGATATACTTCTTCAAGATTATGTGCCCTAGAGAAATCAGGCAGCTCCATCAATTGTCTGGACCTCCTCAAATCTAACATCTTTAAATTCATAAGATCCTGTGACAATGGAAAAGGAAAAAAATTTGAAGCATAGAAGCCTAATAATTTAATTAAATTGCACACACACACACACATCAATTAATGCATATATATAAGTACCTGCACTCCATCCCAAAGCTTTTTAATATTACTGTGTTGCAAGCGTAGCACAACAAGGTTCTTGAAACAATAGCCTTCTGATGGAAAAAACTCCAATGGATATAGATCCCAATGAAAATACCTTAATTTATTAGGAAAAGAGCCAAGATAAAAAAAAAAGCTCTGAATTTTTTTTCTCCTCGAACCAATACCAAGGATGACAAATTTTGAGAATTCTTAAATTTGTCATCTTTGTGAAGGTATTGGGGCTCAATCGTAAATGATTTATTCTATTCCAATCCAATATGATGCCTTCAATTTTATCAATTCCCTGAAAAAAATAATATTAATTATTTAAAAAAGTTATTCCAAAAAGATAAAAATAAAAAATGATATATATTTCACTTACCATGTTCCTTTGCAGTACATCACAAATTTCATCCGCATCATTTAATCGGCTACGTAATTCAGGATGTTTCGAACATTCCTCACAAACTATTTGCTCACCCATTTCTTGAACCAAATCATGCATTACAATTTTACAATCATGATTTGTTGTTATGAGAGCTTTATCCATGAGATTCTCAATTCCACTAATTGCTCTGAAACCACAAGCCTCTAGCACTTGAGTAACGTGATTTTTGCCTTCTCCAATGAAGAAAAAGGCAATGTCTAAAAATATTTCCCTATCCATGACATCTAATCCATCATAACTAACCTTCAATATACTTTATATTCTCGGATGGGGACAAGTTTTGAGTTTGTCAAGCTCACTCCCCCAATATTCTTTACTTCTTGAATGAAAATGGGAACCCAAAACTTCTAAAGCTAGAGGAATGCCTTTAGCATAGGCAACTGTCATTTCTGATAGCTTTTCATATCCCATACTGGGGTGAGTTTGCTTGAAGGCATGTAAACTAAAAAGTTTTAGTGATTCTTCAGACTTCAACTCCTTGACTTCATGTATATATTCATCATGAATCTCTACAGTCCTAAAAACATGCTTGTCTCTACTTGTTATAATTTCTCTACTGCCAGGTCCCAAGTAAAGTTGCTGTCCAGCTAGAACTTTTAATTGCTTTGAATCGGACACATCGTCAAGCACAATCAAGACCTTTTTCCGTGACAGCCTTCTCCTTGCACCATTCATATCTATGCGGACATCTTTATCTTGGTCAAATAGCTTAGAAAGAAGCTTTTGACGCAAATGACTCAAACCATTGCTCTTTGTTGATTCCTCTCTCACATTTTCTATGAAGCAACAGCTTTCAAATTGAGAAGAGAATTTGTCAAATGTAGCTCGAGCCAGGGTTGTTTTGCCTATCCCACCAACACCCCAAATACCAAGAACTCGAACTTCTTGTGACGTAATTTTCATTAATGATTCAACAATGGTGAGATTTTGATCAAATCCAACTAGATGGGATTGTGGTACAACCGGGTTGTTATCTTCCAGTTTTTTTAGGACATCTTGGACTATTGCATCAATGAGCTGTGCTTCGTTTCTAGCATATTAAAAATAAAATAAAAGAAAATTATTACGAGCTACTCGTTATATAAGAATAATAAATGCATAGACATAATTTGGTGTTACCATATTCTAAATCATTTTGGGGGTAACTAAGAAAGGGTTTTAGAAACTATAAAATGATGTATTGAATAACTAAAACTTACTGAAAATTTGATGAAAGATAACCAGATAAGTCTTTGGTTTTCTTCAAGATAGATCTCCAAATTTTCAACTCATTTGAGTTATCCTTGAACTTCTGTTCAAGATGTGTAAATGCAGCTGCATAAGTGCCTTTTTGATGCCTGACATCTGAAGGATCTACACAATAGAAAACTGGTAACACAATTTGTCCACTTTCATCCTTACATTCCATGATTTTGACAAGCTCTTGCAAACACCACTTTGAGAAAGCATATTTTTTTTTAGAATATGACCAACGCAATCATTGATCCTTCTATGGCTTCCTGAAGTGCAGAAAATATTTCATGTCCTCTCTCCAGACTCTCATCCACATAGACATAAACCTGCTTTCCACGCAACGCCGTTGTCAAATGGCTGAGAAAACCAAATCTGATGTCTGAACCTCGAAAGCTGATGAAAACATCATATTTCACTCGGGAAGAAGAAGCAGAAGCAAACACAGCCATTGCTGAGGCACCAAAAGCAAAAGAAACAAAATTTTATAGGTTGTTGATTTTACAAAGACATAGAAAGAAAAGCGTTTAAGATGTTAGGGAAGAAGGGAGAAAGATCAGATGAATACCTTGGCGGGAGTGACTCAAATCAAAGGTTGACGTCTTGAAGTTAATTGGGCGAATTTGCTTATCCTGGGAATGAGATCGACACAACAGAAAAATGAGTCTGAGTTTATTGAGCCTTTGTTCAAGTTGAAGTTAACAGGGAAATTTCCAGGAAGTAGACAAATGAGTCAATGAACCTTGACTGGTGAGGCATTGTTTTTATTGCAAGATAAAACTGTCGGTGGAAATTTTTTGTTTAAAATAAAAAGAAATTTCCACGAAATAATGAAAAACTTTGATCCCCATCTCTTTTTGACTACAAGTCAACAGCCCTTTCTCTTTTGAGTTTTTCTTGTTTAAACTAATCAAAAAAATTTAGGAAGTCTTGAAAATAAATTAATTAAAGAAGTGAGTAGCAATTTCAAAGAAATGTGAAAATTTATCTTTTCCTAATTCTTTTTGACTCAGTCAAAATGTGTTTTTTTCTTCTCGGTTTTTTTTTGTTCGTTTTCTGGTTTTCAGACACGGTTTATTGTACTATGGAGTAGGATTTTCCACTAAGATGTAATAAAAATGGGTCTGTACAAAGATTGTTTATTTGTTTGTCATGTCCAAATAATAAAAAAAATATTTCTTTTTTGTTTAATTTTAAGGGGCTTTACCGCAAAACTTCTTAATTATTGTTCCCTCCAATTATAATATATGCCGTCAGCTAAAAATATTATTTGATCTAAAATATAAGATATTAAATATTTTTTATAATTATTTTTTAACTATATAATTACTAATTCATTTATTATTTATTTAAAAAAATGATATGTTGAAATTTAAATTGCCATTATCAAAATACTTATATAGAATATTTAATAAAGATATGATTAAAAATGTAAAATTTTTTTAAGGTTTTACCTAAATTTTTTTGAGAACCTTGAAGTAATTACTTATTAATATCTTATCTTGTGATTAAGAGAAAGTATGTGATAGTAATTAACTATTAACTATTGAGAATATATGACAATTGAATAAGTGAGGCTCTAACTTTCTTGAAAAACTAGTGCAGATGATTTAGCACATTTCTACACACACACACACACACACACAAAGTTTATAAGACTTAATTTATATTAATTTTTTTAAAAAATTAATCATTTGATCTCTATAATTTTAGCTTAATTGTAACTCAATCTCTAAACTTTGATTTGTTGTAGCTTAGTTCTTATAATTTTAATTTAGTTGTAACTTAATTTTTAAACTCTGACTCTTGCTATTTAGTTCTTATAACTTCAACCATTTAAATATTGATCTCTCTATTTTAAAAAATAAAATTATAAAGATTAAAAATATTTTGAACCTTTATTATTTATAATATTTAAAAATTAAAAGATTAAAATTATAATATTTTGAAATT